TATTTAGTTTCCTCTCTCTCTCTGGCCTTTCGTTGCTTTATCTGAGTGCCTGTCTTTTAATAGCCTCCTGCCTTCCACTCGGCAGCAGTCGTACAGTGAAATAACGAAACTGTCAACGCCTCTAAGACAGTTTTGAGCACGAGGTGCGAAGGCGATTATATCTTAGTTTACTTACCCATTTTTTTAATTATATAACTTAAGTATGTAGCCTAGAATGGGGATGAACCAGTCAGGATTGCCAGTCGTGGAATCAAGAATCGAACCCAAGCCTCGTGAGTAGGATGCAGGAGTGAAACGTAGACACACATTACAGTACCGGCTCTCGTGTGAAAGGGTCCAATTCATTTTACTGGGATTTCTATCCCCAACAGTCGCTTCAGCTCGCGTGAGCCGCTCACATGAAAGGGCCCTAATACTCAACATTCGACGCGGCACACACCTGAAAGCCGACCAACAGTGAAAACTTATGGAGAAGTATTTGGCATTGCATCCTATACTTTTATTTTACGTTATCCTGCCATTCGTAACGTGAGACTGTGAAAAATTATATTCCTCTGAAAGTGCAGCATCTACTGGAATTTGTCTAAACTCCGGAGTTATGGCGTTTGGCCGCGCACTTCGGTATCTGACTGACTGACTGATAACGTTGTGATCCGTCCTTCCGCCCAGGTATTTGTACCAACTTCCGGTTTCCAGTGTAGAGCCGTAAACGTTATTGAAATGGATTTCAGAAAAATACGTTTTGAAAACGTAAATTCCAGTGTCGAGACAGTTGTCGCCTCAGAATAAAGAATGGCCTACGGTCTATGCTTAGATACCTGAAAGCCAAGTAATTAGGAAACTTGAGACTTTGTGTGATGGTCAGGCTATTTGGTTATCTAATGACAGCTGATGATAACCATTTAGTTACTAGTGAACTAACTAGACAGTTGGTTAATGCGCTAGCCAGGAAGTCATCTGGTTAGTGACAGTTAACCAGTTATGCGTAGATGAAGATGGATATCTTCTGGGTTGTAGCGCCGTTAACCGACGTTTCGGAGTTCTTGCTACTTCCATCATCATCAAGGCGTCAGTAAACTTCACCTAGACTACACGGCGTTACAACCTAGAATACAGCCATCGTCACACAAAGGAAGTGTCAGATATCTCACTAATGATTGATTTTGTTTAAGAAAATTAATGAGTGTAATATACGAACCTGTGTGCAATAGTGAGCAAAATTTGTCATGGCCTTTCCGTGAAGTGGCCTCATTTGTAACTATGCGCCCCCCGCGAGATGATAAGGAAGGGTTCATTTGGTCCCTTGTCTAGAAGATGGTGAGAGCCTTTAAAGTTATTTTCAAATCTTTGTAAACGTTATTTCGCATTTCACGATAGATAGGAAGTATAGTGTGTAAGCTGACTTCATGGAACAGAGTCCTTGAGACGCTGAAAGTCGCGGAGGAACCCAAGAACTTACCCGGTTTTTATGGAACTTAAAAGGTTTCATTGTCATGTTTACAGGAAGCCACAACTGGTTACAATCCTGTCCCAGGCCAATCCAATTCCAATCCTGACAACCTAATTCATGGAGATACATTTCAGTATTCTCGTCTCGTGTACATGTAGGTCTCCCAAGTGGCCTCTTCCCTTTAACTAACTAACTAACTAGATGGCTTACCGAACCCGAAGGTTCATCACCGAAATAACCAAAGCCCTCCGCCGGACTCTGTCCTGGGCCAACAAAATCCAGTCTCCTTC